TGTACCCTTGCGCCTATCGCCTCCCCCACCCCCCCCCAAAAGCTCCCCTCCGCCGCCGCAGCGTGCGAGCACCCGGCCCCCTCTCTCTCACAGCATGCCAGAAGCCCTCACTCCTCACTTCTCACCGCGCTGCCAGCAAGCCGCCCGCTCGCCCCCCTGGCGGGGAGAGGCCAGCGGTTGCCTTTTTTATTTTTTTTTTTTTCCTTCTTAGTCTTTGTCTGTGTTGACACAGCATTGAAGAGTGTGTTCTGGGATACGTCTTTCTGCAGAAGTATAAAAAATTTTACAAGAATCGATAGTAGTAACATCGGACACAGGTAATTAATGCAGACAACGCAGTTAGAAGTGAGGTGTCCTTATTGCATACAAGACGCTTCTTGGGAGAGAAAAAGGTGTCCTTATTAGAGAGGTGTCCTTATTTCACAGGGGTTGAATTGCATGCAAGACTGTTCTTGGGGGAAGAAAAGGTGCCCTTATTAGAGAGGTGTCCTCATTTCAGGGTGTCCTCATTTTCAAGGTGTCCTTAGAGAGTTGTTCCACCGTATTTGAAAACACAAACAAACAAACAAACAAACAAACGAAAAAACAACAACACACCTCCTAGCTCCAGCTGTTTCCTCGTCCTCTCCACACTCTCCTCCGATAGGGGATAGTGGTGGAGACAGAACAGACCAATCAAAATGAAGATAATCGGTGGCACTGTCACCAGGAGCTTAAGGGTTAACGGAACCGTCCACGGCTGGTCGCACTTCGTCTCGTCGTACCCTCCGGCCCTGCGGAGAGAGGGAAGGGTTAACGATGTAATCATTACGTCACTGCGTAGAGAGGGAAGGGTTAACGATGTAATCATTATGTCACTGCATAGAGAGGGAAGGGTTAATGATGTAAACATTACATCACTGTGTAAAAGATTTGTGTCTGAATATCGCAGGCATCCACCATCCATAAACTGACTTGTATATGCCAGTGGAGAGTCCAAGGGTCACGCCACTGGAGAATTTGGTACCGAATACGAAGAATGCATAGAATAGTTCCTCTCTTCTCACACCCATCTTCAGGTAGGCTTCGTCTATTACATCTGGTAACATTGACCTAGCGAGGGGGGGATATTGAAAAATGGGGAAAAAAAGTAAAAAATATAGAAAGAGACTGGGAGAAAGGGAAGCGAGAGAGAGGAGAAAGAAGGAAATAGGTTTTGAGACATTTGAAGAATTCTCTGAAAAGAAGCAGACATTATTTGCTCACCATGGAAACAGGTATCCGGCGGCAACGCCAGCCCCACCAATGACGGAGAGCGTAAAAGCGAGAAAGACTCCCCAATCTCCGGCGAAATCGATAAACAGGAGCGACAGAAGAGTCACCATGAAGATCCACAGCCCGGCCGTAAGTGCCGCTTTCTTTCCAATCTTTCGCATCACCACTTGCCACAGGGGCATCCAAACAATGGTAGCCATTAGCAACACTGCGATGACGTAAGGGTACATGTCTTCCAGGTCCAGTGCGTACTTTATGTAGAGGGCGTAGTTGCCTTGTACGAAGGTGATCCCGAGCCAGCCGAAGAGTTGGGTGAGGAAGAGGAGGAGGTACGGACGGAACGTGAAGACGATTCGGATTCCAGCAAACAGGCCGATTTTGGAACTGTACATCCCTGGAGTGAGGGTGGGAGGGTGGTAGGGAGGGAGGGAGAGGAAAAAGGAAGAAAGAAAGAAAAAAGGATAAAAAAGGAGGCGACATATGTCCACAGCTAAATTTGTTTTAGTTTGACCAGAAAATTTTAAGAAAGGTACAACTATGTTGGACTATAAGTAAAGAATAAAAGTGAAAGAGACAAGGAAAGAGGGGCGAACATTAAAGAAAACACAATCTATATAATATATACCTTTTTGTTCTCTGATGGTAACCAAGGTGGTGGTGACGAAAACCACTGTGAGGATGGCGAGAGTGACGGCATGGTAACGATAGGTCCTCTCCAGATCAATGTCTCGTTCCCTGACTCCACTGTCACATGACGACTCCTTCTTACTGGGGGTAAACAACAACAACAACAATAACATTGCTTTTAACAAGTACAATCTTCTTTCCTCGGTTAACAATAAAACAGCAACAAACACCTTACATACAAGAACCCTTCAAACAGGGCCCTAATTGAGCAAAAAGCTTTTGAGCTGAAATTGCAAACCTACCTCTATTCTGGGGTAATAGAGTATGGGGCAGTACCACAGTGTCCTTTATAGAACAAAGGCCTATTTATTCAGAGGGTCCTTTTGTCTTACTGTATATACACTGGCTTTGTCTTATGGCATATACACTAGGCATCATGTATACCAAGTGTCCCTTATAAACACTAGGTGTGGTCATATCTCATACACCCTTGTATATACAAAGACCTATTTTGATATATTTGTAGTACACTAGGTGTGGTGATATCTCATATTATGTACCCTTGTACAAAGACCTATATTGATAGATTTGTAGTACACTAGGTGTGGTGATATCTTTACTATACCTACCCCTGTACAAAGACCTATATTGATAGATTTGTGTACACTAGGTGTGGTCATATCTCATATACCCCTGTACAAAGACCTATATGATAGATTTGTAGTACACTAGGTGTGGTGATATCTCGTATATACCTACCCCTGTACAAAGACCTATATTCATATGGTGATATCTCGTATTATGTACCCTTGTACAAAGCCGGAGAAGTAGCAGTGTAGACACCAATCCCGACCAGCGTCCCGAGGACCTCGAATAACATTCTGTAGAGAGTCGCAGAGTCTCTTTCCTTGTTTGAGTTACTGAGATGCATGGTGAGAGAGGTGTAGGGTACGTGGATACACTGGAAGAGAGGGAGAGGGAGAGAGAGAGGGAGAGGGAAGGAGGGAGAGAGAGAGAGGAGAGAGAAGGAAAGGAAGAGAGCGATGAACGAGGGAGAGATAAAACACAGATGACTGATTAGATTATGGTAGACGTTGAGACTTTTTGCTACACACACCAGTTCAAAAGGGAGTCACGAGTAAGGAATCTATAGAAAATATTGTATTTCAAGCGGAGAAATGAGAAAAGGGTAGGACTCGCGAAATACGCACAAAAAAAGGCGGAAAATTATTTTGCCGACTTATGGTTCCCTTTCAAGTACATGGTTACATAAACTTTGACGAATTACACAAATCAAAACCTATTCGCTGGTAGCCACGTTCTAATTATTCACAAAACCTTCCGCTGTACGGTATATACTCACAGTGAGGAGCAGCTGGAAGGCAAAGTAGAAGAGGATGTAGTAGATGAATTTGAGGTATGACGCGGTTTCGGTGAACGATGGCGGTACAAACCACAGCATTATGTAGGCCAGTCCAGTCGGGCACCATGGCACCTAGTAGCCTGGGGAGGGGTGAGGGGGAGGATAAATGAAAAGATAATATGAGAGAAGAGGCAAAAAATGAGGGGAAAAGTTGTTATCGCGCTATGCTATTTTCAGAAATACGGCAAGTTAAGAGATTTTCTACCTGTCGGATAAAATCAAATAACCGTTGCGCGATTTTGTGAGCTATAATTGCTTACACGAGGGTGTTTTTTTAATAAGAGAGAGAGATGAGCTGTGTTTGTGGGGGACAGTGAAATTTGGGCAAGATGGGAATAGGTGCAGCGAGATGAAGGATGTTACAATTCCATACTCCAACTGTAGTCAGAGCATTTAGGATATTTAGTTTGTCTCTTCTTACTCTACTGTTCTTACAAGAAATGCAAAATCGTTGCAGTAAAAAAGATTTTAGTTGTGGAGAACTCTCACCAAGGTCTTAGTCGACCGAGAGGTGTCCTGGTTCGATTGCAGAGGAATCCAATGGTTGGGTCGGTCAGTGCGTCCCAGACTCTCCCTGCGAACACTATCAGTAGCACATAGACTGGGTCCAGCTGAGGAGAGAGAGAGAGAGAGAGAGAGAGAGAGAGAGAGATTAGAACATTATGGGGTCAAACAAAACTAAGGTTTCTTGTAATGAGAAAGGTAAAGGGGTTAATAAGGCAACTTGGCAGCTGTTGTTGTTTCAACTCACAATGGCCACCTCCAGAAGGAAGATGTTGAGGTAGAATCCAACGACCGTGTTACACATGGCGTACGGCATCGCTCCAACTGCGTATGTCAGTTTCTTCCACACTGGGATCTTATCCTGGTCCGCGGGACTGAACACCAGCTGATGACAGAGAGAGGGAGGAGCGAGGGAGGAGGGAGGGAGGGAGCAAGGGGGGAGAGAAACAGACAATATCAGCACCCCTGACAACATTAATCCCCGTACAAACTGTCATAATGGTGTATGGGTTAACTTGTATATAATTTTGCACCCCTTAACCCTAAACACCCAATTCACCCCTGCTAAAACAATTCTAGAAAATTTGAGATATCCCTGAGAATGGTGTATGTATGTACAATTCACCTTTGTGCCCCGCTAAAGAAAATTCTAGAAAATTCTAGAAAATAATTGAGAATTGGTGTAGCTATGAGACCTTTGCGCTGTCTTTGCTGGAGGCAGTACTGCGAGATGAGTCCAGCAGACGAGGCGGTGGTGAGGGAGACTGATCCAGGAGAGGACTTGACTCAGTCGACTGTGCCATTCCTCTCTCTCTCTCTTTCCAGCCTCACGAAGGAAATGCGGGCCCAGCACACTGACAATAGACTCCTTTGTAACGTAGCTACGCCACAGGACGGTAAACGGCGTGCGGAGCAGGGCAGTTACGTAAGTAGTGGAGGCTCGGACGTTCTTTGCAAACTCCGCTCGTCCCAGGAGACTTCGTGGATAAAAACGGCCGGCCTTTGTCAGCCGGAGACGGAAGTTTCAACGAGACGGCTAGCTGGACTCCTCAAAGCTAGCTCTGCGACGCTGGATCCCTTGACCAGTCCAACGTATATACAAAGACTAGACACGGTCGTCACGCGCCTCCTAGCCACGCCCACTCTCACCCGCTGCTGTTTTTACGCATGCGCATTCTGGATCGCGCATGCATATATCGACGACTGCACATTCGCCCTGGCCTCGATCTCACCCTCGATACACTGCACAGAGACCAAGGAAGGTGAGTAAGATCGATCTCGGTGTATAATACCGTCTGAGTTTTTGTTGTACTATCTATTGAACCCATGGTACACGGTGCGTGTAACAATATGACTGTCTATGCCTGCAATAAAAAGACACAAGACCTCCAAGAAGAAAGATTAGAGTGTACTTTGAACCTCCCCTCCCTCCCTCTTTCCTCCCAGAATGCTGAGACAGGCGGCAAGAAAGCTGGCTCCCTCTCTCTCCCGGAGACCATCGAGACCTCTACTGGCCGTCAGTCATCTCTCCACCTCATCCCCCGCCAGAGGCGAATATGAGTTCATCATCTCTGAGAAGAGAGGGGAGGGGGGTTGTGTTGGACTTGTCACCCTCAATAGGTATACAACAGTAGAACCTCCGATAAAGGAACACTCCGAATAAGGACGTAATAGAAAACACCTCTCAATAAAGGACACACTTAGAGGTCTCAAACGCTATCACTCTGGTACAAGTTTTAACCCTTTGCACGCCATGGGTATCTGCTTAAATAAGAAGAAATTGATGTATAAAGTGTATTAGCGCCTAGTATATTATAACCCGCATATAAATTCTTATGGACTTATGGAGGCTCTGGACATATTTATGTGTCCGTGGCTGGTTAAGTGTTAACTTTCAAAGAATTGACAACCTCCCTATAAGGGATGAGATGCCCTTTTGTGTTGTGCTATTGTTTAAGACTTGCATCAAGATGTGGGGGATTAAACTAAATCTATACCACTATAACCTTCCTTTACATCAAAATGTGGGGATTAAACTAAAAGGATGCTCTACAGCTTTGATAACTTCCCCTGTCTTTCCAATCTCCCAGACGCAAGGCTCTGAATGCTCTCTGTGACGGTCTGATGTCTGAGCTACGAGAGGCTCTGGCTACCTTCGACAGTGATCCAGGAGTCGGGGCGATGGTCCTGACTGGCAGCGAGAAGGCCTTCGCGGCTGGAGCCGACATTGCCGAGATGCAACCTCTCACCTTCCAGTCCTGCTACAGCCAACAGTTCCTCGGTGTGTACAAGTTTTTTTTCCACTAATGGCACCGCAAGCACTTTCTTCGGCCCAAAAAATGGCAAAGGCTCTGTCTTATTTTGTGTTCAAATTTTTGACGTCTGTAGTTTTTTGATGCTTTTTTCCGCTTTACTATCACCATGCACTCTATTTCTTCTGCTTGTAGCGTTTATTGTCTTTCATGTTCGGCCAAATTTTCGACCGTGATTTTTCTAATGATCGTGCATTCCTCCCTGGTCTCCTAGGTAACTGGGATGCGATATCCAGGATCACGAAGCCAGTGATAGCGGCCGTCAACGGATATGCTCTGGGAGGCGGCTGCGAGGTTGCCATGGTGTGTGACATCATCTATGCTGGTGAGATACGCAGCTTTCACATTTTCACTAAGTATGTATTAGTGTTGTGTCCTTACTTCAGGGGTTAAATTCTATAGGGAAATAAAAGGTGTCCTTATTAGAGAGGTTTAAAAGTGTCCTTAGAGAGGTATACAGTGGAACCTCGGATATTGGACACTCAGAATAAAGTATTATACACAATAGACACACTGTGAGGTCCCAAGACTATTATTTAACCTCCAAAAAGAGGACCACCTTCTTATGCAAGAGTAAATGTTGGTCACATCTCCCTCTCTCCCCACATTGTCTTGTCAGGGGAGAAGGCCCAGTTTGGCCAGCCGGAGATCGCCCTAGGAACACTCCCTGGTGGAGGTGGGCACTCAGAGACTCATCAGAGCCATCGGGAAGAGCCGCGCCATGGAGATGATCGTCACCGGTGGGTAATTAGGGGGCGTGGCCAGTGGGCGGGGCCAGCACACCACTTCCTGTGTGTGCTCTCACTCTCTCTCCCTCCCTCACTCTCTCTCTCTCCTCTCTCTCTCTCTCTCTCTCTCTGCAGGAGAGAGGATGTCGGCTCAAGAGGCACTCTCGCTAGGACTAATCAGCAAGGTCTTCCCACCGAATCCCTCGTCGACGAAGCCATACAGCTCGGAGAGCGCATATCTGGCTTCTCAAAGATCGCCGTGGCAATGTGCAAAGAGGCGGTCAATGCCGCAGAACAGCTGCCTCTCAATGAAGGTTTGATTTGTGTTCCTAAGTGATGGCTAACTTTTTTTGACCCTCCTCTCTCTCTCTCTCTCTCTCTCTCTCTTGCAGGATTGAAGTATGAGAAGAAGTTGTTCTACTCTTCATTTGCCACTGATGACAGGAGGGAGGGAATGACTGCCTTCCTGGAGAAGAGAACGCCACAGTGGGCCGACTGTTAGAAATTTTTCATGGACAATAACATTTATTCACTGCTCAAGCGCAATGCCACCGCACAAAAAAACGCGGGCCCGGCCCGCCCCTTTTCCGACACGTTTGTGAGGGCGCGGCGGGCCTGCGCCTGGAAACTTCTGAGACGAGTAACGTAAAACTGGCTGAA